GCACATGAGACCATTCAGTGGTCTCTGCATGACCAATGGATCATGAACAGCAATCCACTGGATTCTCCAATCTCCTTATTCAGGATCAACATCTTCAATCTTGAGTGGTGATTAGATCGGAACAATACTATGATAGGTGTTCTTCTGCCATCACCTCGTTCAGAAATCCATCTCTTCACAGATGCCTTGCTTCAGGGATGGGGTGCATATCTCAACAGTCAGGAATTCCAGGGCCAAATGGATGGATAATGAGGCTTCCCTACACATCAGTGTTTTAGAACTTCTTGCTGTTCAAGGGGTGATGTCTCAAGGTCTGGACTTATTGAGTGGAATACTTCACTCCAATAATTCCATGGTGGTGTCTTACATTTCCTGTAAAGGGAGCACTTGGTCCAGATATCTTTGTTTTTGAGCATTGGACCTTCTTTACTGGGCCCACTCCCATCATATCATCCTACTAGCTTGCCATTTTCTGTGGTGATGAATTTGTTAGCAGATCAATTGTCTTGACCCAACCAGATTCTCCCAATTGAATGGATGCTGCATCACACGGTTTTCCATTATATTTGTGCTTGGTTCAGGACACCGATGATCGATGCATTTGCCACTAACTGGAACATTCAACTACAGACATTTTGGTCTCTGGTACCTCACTCTTGGGCATTGGCAATAGATTCATTCAGCCAGGACTGGATGGGATTGCACCTCTATACCTTCCCACTGATTTGTCTGTTACCCTGAGTCCTAGCTATGGTTCATTCAATCCCTTGTCATGTTATGTTGATAGCACCGGATTGGCTGGCTCAACCCTGGTTTCTGCTTCTCTAGTAACTTCAGAAAGGCCCACCTCTTCCACTTTCTTTTTCGTCATCTCTGTTGAGGCAGCCACAATCTGACATTGTACACACAACCATTCCAAAGCTCAAGCTTCATGCATGGAGGTTATACAGTCCTTCTTATGGCATCGGGGCTTAACTTCTAAAGTTGCCATGTATCCATCTCAGTCATTGCATAGTCACACAGTGGACATTTATCAATGGAAATAGCATACCTGTCGACAAAGGTGTATTGTGAGGAGGTTGAACTCCCTTCGTGCATAAGTGCCAACCATAGCTTGTTTTTTTTATCTGACTCTTTGACAATGGTTTAGCATCTTCTACAATCACTTTATTTAAGGCAGACTTATCGACTACCTTTAGATACTCGAGGAGATTGAAATTATTTGATTCTCCAGTGCTCTTTTGCCTCTTCAAGTCGTTTCGAGTTCTTTTTCCCAAAAGACCATTTCAATTACCTAACTGGGATATTGAGGTGATATTACATGCTCTTTCTCGACATCTTTTTGAGCCCTTAGCCTCATGTATCATGTATCACCTTTCCCTTAAGGTTTGTTTTTGCACTGCATGTGTACAAGATGCTTTATCATTGTACTTATGTGCCATTCTATATTCTGTGTATGTATGTCATTCTACCTGTATGTGATCTTATACCCAAACAGGTCCTTCTTACCTAAGACACTGGCAGCCAGGGAAGGAGATAAATCTTTTTCACTGATTCATCCACTATTTCTCACCTATATGACCGATTGGATTCTGATCATTTTTATGTCCAGTGAGGGCTTTGAAGTGTTATGTTGCCTGCACTAATGCCTTCAAGGTGCTAGACAACAACTTTTTATTCCTTCAGATTCTCTGGATTTATCCCTGGTTACCTTGACAAGGTGGGTATGAAACAGTATGGGCTCTCTTTGGAGGTAAGAAGACTTCTGGGAGTCTCTTCTCATCAGATTCGTCACATTTCTATGTCCTTAGCAGCTTGTTGAATTGCCCACTGGAAGACATTGTGTGGGCTGGTATGTGGACCTCACCCAATACTTTTATCTCGCATTATTTGCATGTTCTGGCAGTACCTTTCGCTGAGGGTTTTGAACTACCTCCATAGCAGTGAGTATCTTCATTAGTAATCTTGTCTCTTCTTTACTTTCAAGGGTCCCTTACCTCTTTTTCACAGAATCCCACTCTGTGGCGAATGTTGCCCAGGCAGGTGTGCTTTTATCAAACCAAATCCACACTCTCAAGCATTAACACTATATACATTATCTAGGTTCCAGCAGGCTCTGTAAAAATGAGGTGTTCTATAAGACCTCCTAGAGGCAGGTCAGGTATTATTACTGTACTATGCTCAACCACTACTCATGGACTATCATGAGAAAAGCATAAGGGAATCGTGCCTGTCCCTACTGATCATTGGATTGAATAAATCAGGGTCAGTTTGCTATTAAGAATTTAGGGAACTTGGTTCACCTATTGCACTGTTTCCAGAACATTGTTCCTCATGGCTCCCCAATGTGCATTATGCCCCCTCCCCATATCCTACTAGTGGATCTAAGGAGTCCTTACCACACCTGGTTTCCAGTCATTGGGGTGGTGGACAGATATTATTCCTTAGAAGTGTTTGAGTGAATTTCCTCCACTCTTGGAGAAGAGGACAAATTTTGGGGCCCTCCTACCTGGGACCCTGGATGTTTTTTTTTCAGATGTTGGTAGGTGAGGCACCAGCCTATTTGGGAACCTACTCATAATACATGTTTCAGACTTGACACTCGCCTACCTGGTTGGGTTGAGCGTGACCTTTCTTTTTTGATTAATATTACTTCAGTACATTGTTCATGGAAGAAGGTCCATTGTCTTCTCGTAATTCCAAATGCAGAGTGGTCCCATCATGGGTCCTTGGTTGAGCATAGTTTGTTCTACATCCTCCCCATAATTCCTGAAACAAGTGGAATTTACCTTGCCCATACAGTTTGAGAGTGAGTATGAGTGTTCATAACTCTCTCCTCAGGTTGAGTATGGCATACAGGATCCTGTCATTTTGAGTTTGGGATGTTGCCTTTTGGACTTCTTCAGGTTGAGGAGAAGGTTTGTCCACATCAGTGTTTCTTACCTTCTCATCGTGATTCTGGTTGTTCAGAACACATCACTCTATAGCTACAGGTTGGGATCCACTTTCAAGTATATATATTACAGTCCAATTGCCATAGCCACCAATGTGGATTTTACAAAACATGGCCCTATAATTCCAATCCCTCAGCTACCTGGTTGGGTCCCGGCAATAGTGATGACACATCATGTCAAATTCCACCCATAGTGCATGAACTAGGTTTCAGGTGAAGAGTATACATGTTCTGGATGTACTGCTGTTCCCCCATTAGGGTACTAATCTTTTATTGGCATACCCCCGATCTATGCATAATGCCCTCATTGGCCCCTCCACCTTATCAATGTGGGATTCTAGCTGTAGTGTGAGAAGAAGGAAAGCATGTTTTGGAAGTTAATATTTTCTTAAATCAAAAAGGTATTTACAATAATACTTACCTCTGTTCACACTCTCCTGCCCTTCCTCTTCACTAAGAGTCAGTGTTAGAGACTGCAGATTGGATTGGTCTAAAAAAAAGTGGTAATATTATCTGAATAAGGTGCTTATGTACAGTACAATGATAGAGGATGCATTGACATAGGTGAGAATGTCACAAGATAGATATTGTCAAGGGCAATTAAATGGAGAATAAAAGACTGTAGCAAGTGAGAAAAAATCAGACCTATGTTTAGATGGGCAAAGGAAGGAAACCCTAACAGTCGAGTAAAAGCTGTAGTGTGAAGGGGGTAAGTATTACTGAAAATACATTTTCAATTTAAGAAAATGTTAACATTTATTATTATTTAGTATTTACATAATAATTTGCAAAAGTAAATATTTTCATGTGGGATTTGAAATTTGTATTTGATATTTCATCAAAAAGATGTCATTAAAATTAAACATCAGTACAGTTTTTTATAGTGTGTTCAGCTGAAATATACCATTTAGTTTTCTTTTAAAGAACCAGAAAAGGAACTTTCATAAAAACTAGCAGACATTACATCCTTTCTATAATTTCCCTAACAAACTTCATCAAATGAACAAGTGAAGTGTATTTTATCATTAGATTGCTACAAAAATGCACTGGTTTTAGTAAATCAGACCCTATAAGAACAAGTTTCTTTGATATAAGAACTTAACGTGTGATAATAATGTACAAGGAAAATTTGTACCTTACAGTAAAGAATTTTGGTTAGACATTACCAAACGAGTCTGGCCAGAGTACATGAATTTTCCTCTGGAGAAGCAAGATGCTCACCCCTGCTCTTTTTCAGAAATCTTCTGTGATGAGTACCCTGCTGCTTACTTTTCTTTCAAATGGGCTGAGGTATGGTTCTTTGTTTGTAAGCAGTGCTTTCTAGAAGTATGAGATTTTTCAAAAAATGGTTCTTATCTATTAGTTAAAACAAGTCTCCTATTTGTTTGTGGTGTATCTAAAAAAAGTATTTTTTTATTTATTTAACATACAAATATGATCCTAAATTCATGCCCATGGGGAATCTTTTATTTCTAAAATAATTAACTTTTTTTCAATTTGTAAAATTGACAATAAATACAGCAAGCATAGTTAAAATTATGTTTTATGTGGTGTTATCTGTTAAACACTGATGGCGTTATATGTTATAATTAGTCTGAAATGCAGTTCATCATTATTAGTAATGCCTATAAAATGTTTGTTAATATATATTTGAAAATTAGTAATATTTGGTATTTTTGTTGCTCCAGATGATAGCAGCTGATGCCTTCAGTGCTTTTCTAGAAGCAGGACTGGACAATAAAATTAGTCAAAGGTTTGTTAAAGTTTCCTGAGTAACTAGCAGAAACTTTCACATATTAAAGAAGAGCTACTTTTATTTATCCCCAGTTTCAGAAATACACATAAACCTCCCCGAGAGTTATTTACAATGTTTTTGGGATATGCCATTCTTTTTTAATTATAAAGTCAGCTGCTTTTTTCTTGTTAATTAAATTTCAATTTTACCACTTTAATATTTATTATCAAATTTTGAAAATAGTAGCATGAGAAGAAAGTTTAACCTTTTCTCTGTCTCTTAGTTGTTGTTTTTTGTGAGATATCTTCATAACTTAATGGCATACTCCAAAAACTCGCTTGATTTCTCAAACTAGGAGTCATAAAACCCAAAATTCAATACTCTGTAATCAATAATATAAAAAGCAAACCTAAAATTCAGAGTAATCTAACCTATATATAAAAACCAGTGTGTGTCACATCACACTTGATTTCTCAAAATAGGAGGAGTCATAAAAGCCAAAATGCATTTATCTAGATAGAATCATTCAATTAATGTCTGCCCATAAGTAGATTATCTGATTCATCAAATTTTTGTGCTTAATCCCAGATAAGAAAAAAAGAAGCAACTTTTGAAACCAAATCCTAGCCACTAGAACTCTATCTGATAGCTTTCTGAGTGTGTGGTATTTGAGTTCTTAAAAAATACTTCACTAACAACCACTAGAGAGTTAATCCTTTAGCTCAGTTAGTAGAGCATTCACCTGGTGTGCCAGATTTCTCACGTTTGAATCTGAGGCAAAAAAATAATTTAAGAAGAAAATAAAATTACTCCAGAAAAATTAATGTGCAATGAGAGGCCATCCCAAAACCCTGAGATAAGACTCAGGACAAGCCTTGTTTGTAAGAGAGAAAAAATATGGTAGTTTTAGTTCTTACAAAAAGGTTTACTAGCAAGTACTAGAGGGTTAACCCATTAGCTCAGTTATGGTTTGAATCCAAGTTGACGAAATGAAAATAAAAGGAAATTAACACAAATATATCATTTTCCTATTTTTATATATGTTACTTTAAACTTTTAACATCCAAAGCATATTATGAAATATAGTATAATAACTTAATAAATTTTGCTGCATGTATTTGATGTACTTGGCATGTTTGACTCAGGAACTGAAATACTAATAACATTTTAAAGCAAGATATTAATTTTTGTGTCTTTTATCTAACATATATTTTTTCTGGCATGACATTTTAAAGACTTGGATAATGACACTAAACAAAAGTAATTGTTGCTTTAGATGTTCCTAGTTTAATATGAACTTGGAAGAAGCTGAGTAAAGTTCATTGGATTGAAATCAATAAAATATTTCAGCAAAATCTTCATTGTTATTCAATAATCTTAAGAAGTATACTAAACATTGAATGAAACATTAACAAAGAAACACACACGTTTTAACATTGTGGACATTTTATGACAATGGATAGTACAAATCAACTGAAGTATTCATATCACTAGGCCAGGAATAACCTCATGTTTAGTATGCCAGACCAAATCCGAAGGTTCATGGTTTATGTCTCATTGCTGAAAAATCATGCTTCACACTGAAGTTATTGGTGCATTATTAGAGTGAATGTCAGATTCCACTATAGCCCAAGACATGGTGCTGGATGCTGTTGATTAAATGGCTACCTTCTAATTAAACTGAATTATTCACATCAGAAGTGTTCATGACTTTGTAGGATTCAGTAATGTCGGTGAAGTCTTATGGTGAATATTTACTATAGGCATAGAAGATTATATTAAGAACTACACTGAACTGTATGATCTTGCTTTGTTGTAACACAGATTTATATAAGAGTAGTCACTATTGGTATACAAGACTGGATATCATGAATTACACTGAACTGTATGATCTTGCTTTGTTGTAACATCAATTTATATAAGAGTAGTCACTATTGGTGTACAAGACTGGATATCATGAATTACACTGAACTGTGTGATCTTGCTTTGTTGTAACATCAATTTATATAAGAGTAGTCACTATTGGTGTACAAGACTGGATATCATGAATTACACTGAACTGTATGATCTTGCTTTGTTGTAACATCAATTTATATAAGAGTAGTTACTATTGGTATACAAGACTGGATATCATGAACTACACTGGACTGTCTGATCTAGCTTTGTTGTAACATAGATTTGTGTGAGGGTAGTTACTACTGGTGTGGAAGACTGGATATCGTGAACTACACTGAACCGTATGATTTACTATTATCACCACATAAATTTATGTGCAAGTAATTACTATAGCTGTACAAGACTGGATATCTTGAACTACACTGGTGTGGAAGACTGGATATCATGAACTACACTGGACTGTCTGATTTACTATTATCACCACATAAATTTATGTGCAAGTAATTACTATAGCTGTACAAGACTGGATATCTTGAACTACACTGTACCATATGATCTAGCTTTGTTGTAACATAGATTTGTGTGAGGGTAGTTACTACTGGTGTGGAAGACTGGATATCATGAAGTACACTGGACTGTCTGATCTAGCTTTGTTGTAACGTAGATTTGTGTGAGGGTAGTTACTACTGGTGTGGAAGACTGGATATCATGAATTACACTGGACTGTCTGATCTAGCTTTGTTGTAACGTAGATTTGTGTGAGGGTAGTTACTACTGGTGTGGAAGACTGGATATCATGAAGTACACTGGACTGTCTGATCTAGCTTTGTTGTAACGTAGATTTGTGTGAGGGTAGTTACTACTGGTGTGGAAGACTGGATATCATGAATTACACTGAACCGTATGATTTACTATTATCACCACATAAATTTATGTGAGAGTAATTACTATAGCTGTACAAGACTGGATATCATGAACTACACTGGACTGTCTGATCTAGCTTTGTCACCGCAGTAAGCCAGTAGCATCCACTGAATGGGTCATGTTAAACCGGTTGTTTGGTCTAAAGATATGGCTTCCTGAGTGTATGTCTAAAGTGTTTGATACAGAATAAACCTAATATTTATTTTATCTCCAAGTTTACAGTAATTTACCATATTTCAACTTGTATTTACACGTGTATTTACTTGTTCATATAACTCAATATGTAGACAAAGCAGGAAAGTATCCATATTCTGAAGAAAGAAATTGTATAGGAAAAGATGATAAAATCTGTCCACGTGGAAAAATGGTTAATCACAGTGTTACTTTCTACTCTGACTGTTTTTTTGCATATATATTACCAACTAAACTATAAAAAATTTAAACAATTTGAAATAAAACTGCTTTTTCCTCAGGTTCAGAGATACTTTCTTATCTCTGGGAGGAGGCTGTCATCCAAGTGAGGTGTTTCGAAGATTTCGTGGAAGAGATCCTTCTCCTGATGCTCTTTTAGCAGCCTGTGGTCTGATGAAGCCGGCTATAGAAAAGGAAAAAGGTAAAGAAACTTTTATTCAAGGTGTTAATATTTTTGGATTTATATCTGCTTCTATTATTAGGTCATCAAGAAATTAATGTTGCTTTTTTTTAGATGAAATAACCTGAACAACTAATATATCAAAACAAAAAATGTATTAAATTCTTATCAATGATACTTTTCCATCTTACAATCAGGTTGTTAATGCCCTG